AACAAAACAGCGAACGTGTCGGCAGAAAGCCTTCGTCAGCGAACAAAACAACAGAAAAAACGGTATAAAAATAAGAAATAGCACTTAGCTGGTAAGTAGTATCTGTGGGCAGCACACTTCTATTGCTTCCCAATATATCGTACTTAACCGGAAACTTCACTAACGGTACATGCATCAGCGTTTCCCAACTGGGACGGGTACCCTTTGCGGGATGGTTACGCAATGGTCGCTCTATTGATGTATTAAAGTACGATTTTTAAATAACATAAAAAAGAAAGATTTGTTTTACATGCGTTATTTGTAAAACTGAAGACAAAAAAAAACCGTTAAAACAAAAAAAAAAAACCCACCCCCCCCCCCCCCCCCCCCCCAAAAACAAAAACAAAAAACAAATCATTATGTTTGATCTGCTTCATATTTTATTATTCAGCTCATCTATATTTTGTAAACCCTTCTTTAAAAATTAAAAATAATGGAATGAGTGAGGGATACGGGAAACAAAGTTCCGAGGGTGGCGTACGATACCTTGATCGATTTCATTTCTGAGGGTTAGAGCGCATGGACGCACCGCAGTATCGCATCACGTGGTCAAGCCAGAACGCGGCTTCCTTCCTGCTTGTACTGCTCTCCGAACGCAACCTCTTCGTAAACGCTCACCAGACCGTCAACCGAAGCCGATAGCGGATCTATTGATCGGGAAAATTTTTGTTAACATCGAACCGTTCAGCGTTGTAGAACCCATCATAACACAGCGGGAGACAGACGACAGGCACTTCGTGGTACAGCTCTTGGTGCTGACTGTTTGACCCGCAGTGAGAGACGAGAACATTCATGTTTCTGTGCCCGAGGAGGTCATTCTGCAGAATCCACACGGACGTCAGTATTTTATCCGACATAGGTGACGTCATGTTGGCTCTCCAGATGACGTTCAGCTTCAGCCTTTTGAAGCTTTCCAGCAGTTTTTGAGGCGGGGGGGGGGGTTGGGGGGGGGGGGGGGGGGGGTCGGGGAGATTCACAATCAAGATTCCGAATGACACAACGGCGTCTTCCATTCCAGATTGATCCACAAACGTTTTAAACGGGTTTTTTCCAGATCCTTCGGGGCCCCCGCGGGGATAGCGCCGACGAATTTAACGTTCGGAAACGACGGTCGCGGGTAATCCGGAATGTGATCAGATGACATGACGAACACTTCGGCTCTGCTCATCAATTCACTCGTCGTGACGTACGGCCTGCATGTCGTTTAAGAAACGTATCCTCTGTCCAACAGCAGATCGTACAACACTGGGTATACCATGTCCAAAATTATCGCCCACCTTTTGAAGAGATGAAAAGAAGTGGAAAGTAATTTAGGAGAAGATTTTTGGAGTTAAAGCAAAACAGTGTAACAGTGATTTTGGCTGATTTGCTTGCTTAACAGTCATTACTCTGTTAATCTACCGCAAATAATGTATAGTATAATAAAGGATCAATATATATATATATATATATATATATATATATATAATGGGATTCTTATAAAATGTGTTTCTTGTATGCACATTTTGTAAAAATTTCAGCCCCACCCCCCAAACTCTCGATATTACATTTTTTTTTCGGGATAGAAACAAAAGTGTCAGGATCCCCTCATAATATTTATCCCAATGGGATCAGGACCCCACCAGAAAACGGGATCCCACCGGGATCGGAATCCTAACCTTGAATGGATCCACGGAAACGGGAACACGCCGGGAAACGGGACTGCGCTTTACATTTTATAAACGCTTTATACGAAACACTATGTTTGAAGGGGTTGTTTAAACTTGTGGATCATTGCCATAGCCATGCTATAATGGAACCAGCCGACGCCATCCTTGTTTAGTGTAGCAATTTTTAGCAATTGAAACTGAATTAGCGATTGAGGAAGTTTATTAAATCAAAACAAAAGTAAGTGTTGAAAAAAAAACAAAAAAAAACAGCAGACAGTTTTTAATGAGACACTGAGAATCAGTTTGATAGTACATTCACTGCTCTGTTCGAATTTTGCGGGGAGATGACTTTAAATATCTTAAATTTTAATTTTTCATAATAACGATCGTCTCCCATTACTGGTATTTTTCATTTACGGTAACTGCAATTTTAAATAAATCTGTAAAAATAAACTAACTTTGATATATTAACTAAAGGGTGGGGGGGGGCGGCTGGAGATTGTTAGGGGGGCTGAGGGGCTGTGGGGGTTCAGGGGTCGTGGTGTACCTGGGGGGACTGAGGG